GGCCGGCGCGGGGCGTGGGGCTGCGCGGGCGCGCGGGCGGCAGCGGGCGGCGGGAGCGGCTCCGGGAGGGGCTCAGAGTGCGGCTCCGGGGACGACGGCGCGCAGGGGGCGTGGGGCCCCACGGGCCGCGGTCGGGGGCACCCAGGCGGGGCCCCGGGCAGGGGCTGCAGTCCGAGGCGCGGCCACGGCCCGTGCGGGGGCCGGGGCGCCGGGGGCCGGGCATGGTGTCCGCGGGGAGGAGGGCCAGCGAATGGCGCGCGCCCCGCCTGGGATCACGCGGTCCCGCCCCGCTCCGGGTGTCAGGGTCACACAGACCCGCCCTGGCAGTCAGAGCCCGCCAAGTCATAAAGACCCGAGGGCCACACCCGGGCCCCCGCCCCTGCGGAACCAGCAGGGCTGTCGAGGGCAGGCTCTGTCCTGGGACCCTCGGGCCCCTTTCCGGTCCACACCTCGGGCCTCCCTCCACACCTAACATCCGATGTCCTCCAGCAGAACGCCCCCAGCCCACCAGGGAGTGTGCTCTGGTGTCCGCAGGGTCACTCGTGGGGCCTGACCGCCGACCCGGGGGTTCCCAGCATCGGCCAGTGTCCCACCCCACCCAGATATCCTGTGTCTCTGGTCCAGCATCTTTGTGGAGGGAGTGGTGAGTAGGAAAGATCCGCCCACCCCATCAGTGCCTTTCCACCAGGTAACTTTCCCAAATCTACATGTCATCTTTATTTGGTTTAATAATCTTTATTTTACATTTAACTTCCCAAGATAACCCGAAAGTGAGGTTCTGTGCCCACTCAGTGAGGGGTGGTGGGCATTCCCCTGGGTGGGCCCCAGTGCCTTTCCCGTCTCCACCAGATCCCACTGCAGACTGGCTCAGGGCAACATAAATCATGAATAAATTAAAAGGTGGCCCTCGCCCCCATCCCCCTCCTATGCTTTACCTCTCAGTTGTTTCAGACCTGGGCCCGGAAATTCCCAGAGACCCAGAGTTAAATAGGCACCTGGGCCACATTGACATGTTAGCATTTATTGCTCAGGCAGTATTAAACTATATCACACAAAAATGTAAATTGACAGAGACAGGACTATACACTTTTAAAACCCCATTTGTGTGGATTTTTCAAGCTCTCTCTGAAATAAGAAAGTGCAGGCCTGTGTTAAGCCCCCAGGCACCGCATTCCAGCTCTAAGACTCAGACTTTCTGGACCCCCAGGAGACATCAGCCTCACCTGCACTGTCCCCTTGGCTCCCGTCCAGGCTGGGGAGCTGCAGGAAGGGGAGGTGGCCCCGTGGGCTGCTTGTGTGCAGGTGGGAGGCACCTTGCTATCCCCGTGCTTGTTTGGGGGCCTGACCAAGGCATTCGTCTTCCTGGCCCGCTGGGGACACGGAGGCCACCGAGACGTGGAGATGTGAGCTGTCAGTTTTCAGAGCCTTGGACAAGGGCCCCACCCCAGAGAACTCTGAGCTGCCACAGTGGACGGGGTCAGCCCCAGCGTTGTTGACAGAGGGCTCAGGATGGGTGCAGGCTGATCGCTGCTGAGCTGGGTCTCCACTGGCCGTGTAGGACACCCGTACATGGACCAGAGCCACTGCACGGGGGCCCTTCCGGAAAGACTGGGTTTAAGTATTGAGAGAGCAGAAATGCAGGTGGGGTTCACGTGGGGAAGGCTGCGCATTGGGGGTGGGGGCTGCCCTGCACCCCGGCTCTGGGGGCAGTAGCTCCACGGGCTCTCGAGACGGGGCGGAAGCATCTCTGCCCTCGTCAAGGAATCCGTGCTCAGCGGGCTGCGCCCCCAAGAAGAGACGGGCCGAAACGGGTGAGATCCACGCACGGCTTAGCGAGGTGTGTGCCGGCTGCGGACAATAGGTGCTCAACAAAAGCAGGGCAGGGAGGCCGGGCGAGGTTTGGAGGAGCAGACACCGGCGGCCGGTCGCTGGTTGGACCGGGAACCCGGAGACCCGTGGTTGCCCAAATATCAGCGCCTGGAGAATTCAGCTCTAGCGTGGGCCCCCCCTCACCTGGGGGCCCCGTGCCACTGCTCCTGTGGTTAGGCCACCTCCGGAGCACTGAACTGATTCCAACCCCCGCAGTCAGCGCAAAATAGTCAACTTTTGCCTATTTCAAAATTAAACTACCGTAAGAAATGAAAACTCCACGTTGCAGCCCAGCCTGCCCTACGAAAGGGGAGGGCCGAGTTGGAAGGTCGCGGCTCAGGGACGACTAGCGTCTGTGCGTTAAGTTAACAAGCTGGGTCCGCAGTCACTGGGCCATTTGCACCATGACGGCTCTCCACGCTTTCTCCTTGTCAAACTCCTTCAGGGGGCTTCTGGCCACCTGTGACTGAGACAGGCAAAGAGGTATTTGTCCCGGGCCACCCACGCGGCAGGAAGCAGGAAGGAGGCTCAGTTCCCTCTCACTACTCTGCTGTCCCAGAGCCCCGGCACCTCCGCCGGGACCCAGAGCACACGTCCTCCGCAGGGGCGGGGCCTGGGCTGCGGGGTGGGCTCTGGATGGGGGGTGGGAGGCTGCTGTGAGTGGGCATCCTCCCAACAGCCGGGGAGCCGGGGGCTTGGGTGGAACCTGCCCCTGCCTCGTGAGGCTTCTTCCTATGCATCTGCATCCCAGCACCTGGCAGAGCAGCGTCTGCATTCAGTAGATGCTCAGTAAATACTGCTGACTGTGGGATGATACACACCAGGGTGCAGGGGTAAGTCCCTCCAAGCTCTTCCTGGGGGCAGAGGCTGGACACTCCACAGAGAAGCGGTCTTGACCCGGCCCCGGAGGCTGTGAAGGCATCTCCAGGGGCATGACAACAGGGGAGGGAGGACGCTTGAGGCAGCGGTCACCAAACAGGGAGGACAGCTGCCCGGCTCAGCACCCCCTGAGCCCCCAGAACTGGCAGTTCTGGAACGTGGGGGGAGGATTCATTGGCCTGACACTGCACCTTGGCGTCCTGACACAGAACCAGGGGGACCTCACGTGGGACCCAGGGACAAAGCCAACCCCGCCAGGGACTGACCACAACCGGGTAAAAACAACAACTGAACGACGCCATATGAGAAGTGCAACGAAGGGAGAGGTGGGGCATGTAGGGTGGCTGAGGAAGGGCCAACGGCCGGAGTGCGTCCCCCGGGAAGGGCGGGAGAAGCCTCATGGGCGACAGGGTGACGAAGGCGGGAGGCTGGCCACGCTGGACGTGTTGCCGGAGAGCAGCAGAGCAGGACGTGAGACGGGGTGGGCCCGGGTGGTGGCTGGGTGGGAGGAGCGCCCGGTCCACCCAGGGTGGCCCTGGAGGGCCCTGCAGCAGCCTCCCAGGTACACGGAGCATCGTGCACCTGGAGGACAGTGGGCAGGTTTGCCCAGTAAAAGCACCACAGTGGGCAGCTCACGGGGAGGAGCCTTTCAGCTGTGGGGGACAAGAGGCAGGGCCTGGGGAAAGTGCAGCGGCCTTGAGCCTGGCCGAGGGGCTGGCGTGACCCTCAGAGCCCACCGGCCAGGGGTCGGCGACGCCACATGTGTAGTGGGCACCCTGACGAGCCGCAGGAGGGAAGCTTTGTGATCCATGCAGATGTTTGCCAGGCTCTCTTCTGCATTTGTAAGAGTAGAACTGGAAGCATTCAGCCCATAATACCTTTCCAGACATGGATTTGTGTTTGCCTGGCTGGCTTAGAAAGCGTATAACGTATTGTACCTTTCCAAGATTTTTCTGGGGTGTTTTAAAAAATACGAAGTGACCCAACAGGTCTTGAAAGAAGTCAGCGCAGGTGGGTGTCGCTTTGCCCAGGGCCCTGGGAAGACAGCCCCACTGGGATGGGACGGGATGGGACGGGACGGGGAGCCACGCTCGCTCGGAGGCCACTCACCTCTCCCGCCGGGCGTCCCTGCGGGCCAGTCTGCGTGGCGTCGTCAAACTCCTTCAGGGGGCTTCTGGCCACCTGTGACTGAGACAGGCAAAGAGGTATTTGTCCCGGGCCACCCACGCGGCAGGAAGCAGGAAGGAGGCTCAGTTCCCTCTCACTACTCTGCTGTCCCAGAGCCCCGGCACCTCCGCCGGGACCCAGAGCACACGTCCTCCGCAGGGGCGGGGCCTGGGCTGCGGGGTGGGCTCTGGATGGGGGGTGGGAGGCTGCTGTGAGTGGGCATCCTCCCAACAGCCGGGGAGCCGGGGGCTTGGGTGGAACCTGCCCCTGCCTCGTGAGGCTTCTTCCTATGCATCTGCATCCCAGCACCTGGCAGAGCAGCGTCTGCATTCAGTAGATGCTCAGTAAATACTGCTGACTGTGGGATGATACACACCAGGGTGCAGGGGTAAGTCCCTCCAAGCTCTTCCTGGGGGCAGAGGCTGGACACTCCACAGAGAAGCGGTCTTGACCCGGCCCCGGAGGCTGTGAAGGCATCTCCAGGGGCATGACAACAGGGGAGGGAGGACGCTTGAGGCAGCGGTCACCAAACAGGGAGGACAGCTGCCCGGCTCAGCACCCCCTGAGCCCCCAGAACTGGCAGTTCTGGAACGTGGGGGGAGGATTCATTGGCCTGACACTGCACCTTGGCGTCCTGACACAGAACCAGGGGGACCTCACGTGGGACCCAGGGACAAAGCCAACCCCGCCAGGGACTGACCACAACCGGGTAAAAACAACAACTGAACGACGCCATATGAGAAGTGCAACGAAGGGAGAGGTGGGGCATGTAGGGTGGCTGAGGAAGGGCCAACGGCCGGAGTGCGTCCCCCGGGAAGGGCGGGAGAAGCCTCATGGGCGACAGGGTGACGAAGGCGGGAGGCTGGCCACGCTGGACGTGTTGCCGGAGAGCAGCAGAGCAGGACGTGAGACGGGGTGGGCCCGGGTGGTGGCTGGGTGGGAGGAGCGCCCGGTCCACCCAGGGTGGCCCTGGAGGGCCCTGCAGCAGCCTCCCAGGTACACGGAGCATCGTGCACCTGGAGGACAGTGGGCAGGTTTGCCCAGTAAAAGCACCACAGTGGGCAGCTCACGGGGAGGAGCCTTTCAGCTGTGGGGGACAAGAGGCAGGGCCTGGGGAAAGTGCAGCGGCCTTGAGCCTGGCCGAGGGGCTGGCGTGACCCTCAGAGCCCACCGGCCAGGGGTCGGCGACGCCACATGTGTAGTGGGCACCCTGACGAGCCGCAGGAGGGAAGCTTTGTGATCCATGCAGATGTTTGCCAGGCTCTCTTCTGCATTTGTAAGAGTAGAACTGGAAGCATTCAGCCCATAATACCTTTCCAGACATGGATTTGTGTTTGCCTGGCTGGCTTAGAAAGCGTATAACGTATTGTACCTTTCCAAGATTTTTCTGGGGTGTTTTAAAAAATACGAAGTGACCCAACAGGTCTTGAAAGAAGTCAGCGCAGGTGGGTGTCGCTTTGCCCAGGGCCCTGGGAAGACAGCCCCACTGGGATGGGACGGGATGGGACGGGACGGGGAGCCACGCTCGCTCGGAGGCCACTCACCTCTCCCGCCGGGCGTCCCTGCGGGCCAGTCTGCGTGGCGTCCCAGGATGCGCCCGCCTTGAAGCGCACGCACTGGATGACCGTGGCCGTGTTGAGGCCCGCCTGCAGCAGCAGCTCCAGCATCAGCAGCAGCAGAAGCGCGTCGTAGGACTGCCGGGGGTGGAGACAGGTGGTGAGCAGCCCGGGGCCTCGCCTCCTGGCTCTCAGCCGCACCCAGGCCCCCACCGCGTGGGCCCACTGCCCACAGGCTTCCCAGGCCTTGGCCCCGAAGCACAGACCGTGAGCCCTGCAGCAGTCTGTGTGGAGCGGTTTCAGGCTCTCACTCCACTGTGCCCTATTATGTCACCAGCCTGAGCAGTAACATTCTGTCTCAGTGAGAGAGAGTTGAGGAAATCACTTCTGCTCTGGGTTTAACAGAGGGACACAAAGATGACCCGCCTCATGGGGGAACAGGGTGATGGTGCCACTGCCCGGGTCAAGTCGTCCAGGCCTCCCAACAACCACTCGTGTCCACAGCGGAGCCACTGAAACCACCCGTGGCCTCGCCGAGGGTGCCCAGATGGGGCAGAAGTCTGCTGTGGAGGCCCCGAGCCGGACGAGAGAGAAGGGCGGGGTCCGGGGCAGCGGGACACAGGCGCGGTCGACAGATCGGTCTCGAGGCTGGAGGGTGCGGCACTGGCTGCTGGTGAGGAGGGGTCTGCCCGGGACTAGAGGAAGCCCCAGTGGCTACAAGGACATCCACAGAGCACTGGCCCCTCCCCACACTGCAGGGGTGTCCTTCCAGCCTCAGAAATACAAAACAACGCGACGTTAAGACAAAGAAGAGCCCAGAAAATGTCACTGTTAAAAAAAAACAAAAAGACTCAACAGCTCTGAAGTTTATATACACATTTAACCATGAGTCCAGTTTTAAAAAAAATGCAACATTGGGCTGGCTATCTAGAGCCAGGCAGGGTGATTCTAAAATTCATATAGGGACTTCCCTGGTGGCGCAGTGGTTAAGAATCCGCCTGCCAACACAGGGGACACGGGTTCAAGTCCTGGTCCGGGAAGATCCCACATGCTGCGGAGCAACTAAGCCCGTGCGCCACAACCACTGAGCCTGTGCTCTAGAGCCTGCAAGTCACAACTACTGAGCCCACGTGCCGCAACTATTGAAGCTCTGCGTGCCTAGAGCCTGTGCTCCACAACAAGAGAAGCCGCCGCAATGAGGCAATGAGAAGCCCGCACACCGCAACGAAGAGTAGCCCCCGCTCGCCACAGCTAGAGAAAGCCCACGTGCAACAGCGAGGACCCAACGTAGCCATAAATAAATAAATGGATGAATAAATAAATAAATAGCATTCATAAAGAACTAGCAAGTGACAGGAGTGAGTCACAGCCCTGAAACGCAGGGCAGCCGGCCGCAAGGCATCGAGCAGGCCAGGTGGCGACGCCTGGTGCAAACCTCCGGGGTGCGCCTGGCGGCACAGACCGGCCAAGGGGGTACAGTCAGGGCAGAAACAGACGCAAACAGACCGAAGCTCAGTGCGTGATAAAGGCAGAGTCTCAGATGACTGAGGAAAAGGTGGGCTTTTTAATAAACAGTATTGAACCACGAGCCATTTGAGGAAAGTCCAATGGGGCCACTCCTGGTGCTGCACTCCAGGCTAAACTCCCGCGGAAACACAAGTACGAGCCTTTCTAATTGTGACTTAAAATCTAGACGCAGGGCCTCCCTGGTGGCGCAGTGGTTGAGAGTCCGCCTGCCGATGCAGGGGATGCGGGTTCG